GGCTGGACCCACTGCTACTTCCACTGGGGCTGGAAGGAAACTGCATCCCCCAAAAGAAGAATTAGGAGGAAAGTAAGTAAATTAGCATTCACAAAGTTTCCATTCCCCTAAGCCAGTTGTTCCCATGTTGAGGAACATGGCGCTCTTTTGCAGTTCTTACACATATTTTTCAGTAAAGATTCAACAAGTCATATTGCATCAAAGAAATGTATCATACATTTTCTGGGGACTAGAGGGATTTTGCTGATTAGATAATACTTTATGAATATAATGTACACACACTTTCTACTTAGGTGACAGTACTTAATTATCTGACAGAATCTTAACTCAATTCTCAAACAGCTGTATAAACTCACAAGATTTGGGAACTTTAAAAATGAGTTTCTGTACATTAAAGCGACTGAATGTCGGGCAGATGGCTCATATATCAAATGGTTGTCTGGTCCATGGGATGTGCAATTCTGCAAAGTGTTAGCTAAATTATTCTCTCTGATTCACGAGAACAATGCCCAGAGCCTTCAATGGAAGCCCTGAAAGAATGTCTGCAGGGAAAGTTCAATGATATTTTAAGTTTACAGCAAATGGAAGACCCTTAAGTACTTCTAAGGTACTTATTTAAGTGTGGAACTTGCGTATTATATCAATTGGATTATCTAATTTGTAGCTGCTCAAATACCATTTACTCAATTTTGAAATCTGTAAACAGGAATACCATGTTAGGTGGTAAAGACCCTGAAAAATCCATGTTAGACGTCTGGTTTTCCCTATATACCCAGAAGGTGTCATCACTGCTCCACAGAGGTTTGGTAAACAGTATTTATTTTTACCTAGAAGCTAAAATGCTTAGTTTTTAAAGGAAGAGGCTCTCACAGTCGACAATGAGCAATACTATCTTCGCGTCCTAAACACTCAAGCAGTCTGAAGTAGATTCCATTTAAAATAAGAAAACCACATGTAAATTGGATGATGAACCAGACTATAGCATTGACCTTTCAATTCTTCAAAACTAGACCTGAAGACAAGTATAAAGCACAGCAGACCACTGAGCCTTTGCAGATCTCAATGCAGGATTGGAGCCTTAAGGTGTAATTTTAGAATGAGGGGATGTTATAACACTGTCTGCAGCAAGTCAACGTGTCTGAATTTTCAAGGAGATTTAAAAATACCTTCTCCGGAAGCCACTCAAATAAATAGGGAAACCTAGTATAATTAAATATAATGATGAGCTAATCCTTGGAGGAAAAAATATCTTTGACTGATCCCACCAGGAAAACCTTGATAATCTCACTAAATCCTTTATATTTGCTTTTCTTTATTATCTCTAAAGTCATATGGCAACAATGGCAGGCATAGCTGTTTAGACCTATTCTTTACACTACAGAGTATCATGTAGGGCTAAAAGGATTTAGGAGCACCCACTTACATGTAAACAGGAATATATGTTTTTTAAAGAGTGTATGTAGCTATAGTTAGGGTGTCTCCCCAGCCCAGGAGGTATTAATGCCAAGCCCTGAGTCTGTTCCGGCCCTTTCTTCTGGGTACCATTTATTGGTTGCACTGACAACCTTTAGTAACCCCCAAAATAAAACAGTTCATCATAAGCCCAACGGCTACTTTCCCACTGACTCAGAGGCTCCCTTCTCAGAGCCTCCCTGCCCCATGGCCTACCACAGGAGTCAACCGGTTTCCTGTAAATCCCATCACCCACCCTTCCAGCCTCCATAGGAATCAGATGCTCATCAGTCAGTCACCTCATCCCTTTCTAGCAGGATCTGATAATCCCCTCTACAAAGTCCAAACACCATTTTCTGAAGTGGCTCTGCTTCTGAACAGAGCTTGCTGGCCTTTGAACAGAAGACTAGCCTGCTACAACAAACAAATGTATGTTTTACGTAATATTGGGCAATACACTTTCTAAATACTTTTGCGAATGGATCACTTTCCCTTCCAGTGTGCACAGAGGGGTATGAGGTAGGATCAATGTCCTCCTAAAATTCTGGCTGTACACTTCTGGGCAAGGAATATTAGTAACTCCCCTACGCAGACTGCAGAAAGAAGTGACACACAGTCATGCCCAGCTATCTTCCCTCAGTGGATCAGAGATCCCATGCAGTATGCAGCCGCACCAGAGAAAATTAGTCAAAATGTTGAGATAAGAATTTAAGAATATAAGAACATAAGACTGGCCATACTGGGTCAGACCGAAGGTCCATCTAGCCCAGTATCCTGTCTTCCAACAGTGGCCAATGCCAGGTGCTTCAAAGAGAATTAACAGAACAGGTAATCATCAAGTGATTGATGACCTACCATATGTGGTAGATTCAACCACTCACTCATATGATTAAACCAAGCCCATCAAAAACCAAGCAGAAATTTAAAGAACTACTGTGAAAATTTGTCAAAATGGTTTAGCAATCATTCTAACAGCAAATAAGATTTTCATGGATTTTCATCAAACATTTTCAGATTTTTGAAAAATTGTTCCCAGTTTCACAAACAAGAACATTTTCGTACTGGGAGATCTTGGCAGACCAGTAAAGTGCCTGAAACACTACTGCTTATTGCTAAAAGTAGGCAAGTTAGCAGGCCATAAGTGGGCCTGTGTAGCAGCCTTAGCATGACCGAGTCAGGAGGGGAGGGGGGTTGGGTGCCACAGAAAAGGCAGCTTGACCCCGCGTCCTTTCTGATGAGATCTCTGTTGAAATTGCTGAGATATGCATTTTAGGAAAACAGGAAGCTTGCCTATGTGTGCCCTCAGGGATGTGTCTGTTAGGGCTTCAAGGCATGCAAACTCTGAAAAAAACACATCTGGCTCATTGATGATCAGAAGGAAACCTCTTGCTTAACCTTTGAAATTGCTTGCTTAACAAGTTTTATTTGAGTGATGTGTTATTGTAATACTAATGAATAAATAAGGGAAGAAAGTTTGGGGTAGCTGTACTCTTCAAGGACTCTCCCCTCTGGACACATCTTGTGGTCCCCACCGGCAGATGGAAGATTGGCCATCGGAAGACTGCCGCTGTGCCACTCGAGAGGCACACCCAACTTTGGTAATTATTGAGGGTTGGGGGTGTTTTAATAACCTGTTGCGGACGTGTGTAAGTGCTTGAGACTAAGTAAAGTATATCTTTAAGTGAGAGCACTTTTGTGTTGTCTTGTTTGTGCCAGCCATCTATCTGTCGGACGGCCATGTCTCCCTTGATTTATTTCCTGACACCACCTCATACAGCGTAAAGTTACCAGGAGTTTCAGGTTGAAAGAACCCCAGATAACAATTTTGACCAACACAAACCTCCTTTTGTTACCAACATTTTAACCAGCTCTACTTGTTGTTTATTGCTTATATGACAGATCTTCATAAAACTATATTGGGTGTTTCCCCAACTTTTCAAACACTGATTTTTGGGAAGGCCTTCAACTGACATTTGAGAAACCACACTACCCAAAATACAAGATCTAAGAAAAAAATTAACTTTGGAAAACTCCTTGGATTTAACAAGAACTTTGTGAAATTAAATGAGGAAAGACAATTTGTCTTTAGGCTGATAAATGTAATAGCTTTGAACCTGTAATCTGGCTGCAATGTGGACAGTACAAAACTGTTACAAAAGATCTATAGATAGCAAAATAAATGTATCTGGGTGGGTTTCAAACATGTATTTACAAAGAAACACACCTAGCTAATTTGTCAGAAATTACTGAACTTTGCTGCTAGCTGTAACTTATTGTCAAAGATGACTTTCATGTTTACTCTTCCTCAGCCCAATAGCTAGCAAGCACGTTAAGGGTGCAATTGCTTGTAAACTATGACATTTAACAAATCTAAATTTAAAACTTGATATTTTGACCCAAGGAAATGGGCTGCAAACAACTGCAAAAACATTCATTTTTTATCATTCAACCTACGAGAACCTGTACAGTCACCTTCACATAAAAGATTTTCATTAGAAAATATTATTAAATACAAACCTGCCAACCAAAAGGAAGCCATTTTTGTCCGCAATGGAGAACATTCAGCTTCCCCCAACACTTCCTTTAAAGTCCTGTTATGGTGGTAAAAGGGTGTGACGTTTGGAGTCCACCCACAAAACCCCAGCCAGAGTGCTTTTTGCAGAACACTGCTACCAGCTTTGTCAACTTACACCAGCTGAGGACCTGGCCCTTAGGTTAAAAACATAGCTTAGCTCACAAGTGGACATGAATTTTAGCACATTCATCCTTGCTCATTTACACAAAACTCACAAAATCACTACAAATTTGGTCCAAATTACAGGTTTTTCCTCAAGAGTAGATGAAGACTGGAGCAAAAAAAGATGATGCAAACTCAGATGAGCATTACCACCATATCTAGCTATTATTCCCTGGCAATCCAGTTCTGTTACTTTTATTTCTCATGAAGACCAATTTACACACTCTTTAAACATCTATAAAGAATGACGGTTAACATTAGGGGTACATACTATAAGACTTCACTACCACACAGATTTTTTTATGGCAAACTTCCAGCTATCTTTAATGGATATATTGAGAATGTTGGCCTATCACATATGCTTTTCACCTGGTTTGAAAATCCACTATGACAAAATGGACTTCAGAGGGGGAAAGGACACAGACACCGGAATTTAATATTTTCTAATGGCCAGATTCTGTTCTCAGTTACATCAACTACTAAAAACATCTATCTGGAGGAACTCACTGCATTCAATGAATTTATTCTAGATATACACCAGAGTAATAGGAGATCAGAGTATGGCAGTAAGTAAATTGCATGGGAATCTCAGAGCAAGTATCCTGTACATTTTATAGACGAGGGTTTAGGTCTCTTAGTCAAGGACTCAGCCTAGTCCACTTGGCCTGCACAGTGCTTTTGACAATTGTTTCAGATGTTCAACAAGAACAGTTCCTTCACCACTTTCAGCAAATTGCTCTCTACGACCTTTTGAAAGATAAAACTCAATAATTATACAATGATAAACTGAAAAAATGGTTAAGGTTCCTACCAGCTGACTGCTAGATCATGGACTTTTAAAGTGCTGCTCAGCCTGTATACTCCAGATTTCAATGGCCGGGTGCATTCCTTGGCACGAGCAAGATAAGGGTTCACTTGAGTATCTATGGGAAATTCTGAATCCTAGGAAAAAACAAAAGTATTAATTTTTGAGATTACTGCACAAGTCTGTGTAACAAATTATTTATCAATTTATTTTTGCATGTATACAGTTTTGTCTATTTTTTCCATTGCTCACTATTGGTTCTTCAGCATTGCTTCTAGTAAACTGCAGTCAGCCTCCAATCCTGCAAACACTAATGCATGTACTTAAAGTTAAGTACAAGTATGTTTGCAGCATTGGTGTCTATAAATGATAACACTGAGTATACTCAAAGACCTAATTATTTGTTTTTTCAACGCGTGTTCCACGGAGCATATTTCTGAAGCAATGTTAGTTGTTAAAAGTAGCCCAAACCCCATCCTTCTTTAAATCTGAAGACTACACCGCTCAACACAGCAGTACGTTTTCAAAGTACGATGCACATGTACATGTAAATACTGTGAAATATAATGGAAAATGATGACCAAGTTCTGCTGTCATTTATACCCAGGCAACGTTACTGAAGTTTATGCAGGTATATGAATGTAAATAAAAGGAAGAAATTGGTCTCGTGCTTTAATTAAAATAGCCATTTATGAATCTGCTGGTGGCGGCATGTATGTGGCTGAAAAGTGACATTTGTTAAGCCAGTAGCATAGCAACACAATATAAAATTTAACCAAAATTCTATATGCCATAAATACTAGTTTCATAAAGCACAGGGTGAACGTCAGAAGAAAACTTGTTATGCAACATGTTGTTATTTAACCAATAGAAATCTTTTTAGTTTGTTTAGCCAGCACTACAGCAAGAAGTTTGACATTGCTAATTTAAAAACCCTGGATTCAGTCTAGGGTTGCCAACTTTCTAATCGCACAAAACCGTACACCCCTGCCTCACCCCCTGCCCCGCCCCTTCTCTGAGAACCCTCCCCCCACTCGCTCCATCCGCTCTCCCTCCGTCGCTTGCTGTACCCCACCCTCACCTCACTTTCACCGGGCTGGGGTTGGGGTGTGGGATGGGAGTGAGGGCTCTGGCTGGGGGTGGGGCCGGGGATGAGGGGTTTGAGGTGTGGGACAGGACTCCGGGCTGGGCCAGGGGGTTGGGGTGCGGGGGGGTATGGCCTTTGGGCTGAGGGTGTGGACTCGGGGGGTGCAGGGATGAGGGATCTGGGGTGCAAGAGGGGGCTCCAGGCTGGGGCACGTGGGGTATGGGTTCTGGATTGGAGGTGTGGACTCGGGGGGGAAGGGATGAGGGGACTGAGGTGCAAGAGGGGACTCCAGGCTGGGACATGGGTGGTATGGGCTCTGAGCTGGGGGTGTGGGCTCTGGGGTGGGGCTGGGGATAAGGGGTTTGGAGTGCAGGAGGGGGCTCTGGGCTGTGGCAGGGGGTTGGGATGCGGGGGGGTGAAGGCTCTGGCTGGGGATGTGAGGTCTGGAGTGGGGCCAGGGATGAGGGGTTTGGGGTGTGGGCAGGGGCTCAGGGCTGGGGCAGGGTGTTGGGGTGTTGGAGGGCTGCGAGGTGCAGGCTCCGGGAGGGAGTTTGTGTGTGGGAGGGGACTCCGGGCTGGGGCAGGGATTAGGGTGCAGGAGGGGGCCTGGGGTCCCAGCGGTGCTTACTGCGGCTCCCAGGAAGTGGCCATCAGGTCCCTGCACCCCCTAGGTGCATGGGCGGCCAGGGAGGCTCCGTGCAGGGCCTTTGCTCTCGCAGGCACCATCCCCACAGCTCCCATTGGTCACAGTTCCCAGCCAATGGGAGCTGCAGAGCCAGCACTCAGGGCAGGGGCAGCGCGCACAGCCTCCCTGGCTGCCCATGTGCCATGGGTCCGCAGTAACCTGGCGGCCGCTTCCGGGAGCCATGTGGAGCCAGGGCAGGCAGGGAGCCTGCCTTAGCCCAAGCCCCCACTGCGCCGCCAACCAGACTTTTAATGACCAGGTCAGCGATGCCGACTGAAGCCACCAGGGCCTTTTCGACCGGGCAATCCAGTCAAAAACCGGACACCTGGCAATCCTAATTCAGTCCTGCACTGTAGCAAACTCATTTTCAGAGAAATGTGACTTTAAACCACCTTTACACTTTCCCCAATCTTCAACCAATATTGTCTCCAGTGTAATTTAGAGCTGCATATGCGCTATAATTTGTGCGCTGGCTAAAGCAGTCCTACTTATGCGGTTTACTTTTTACTTACTCCTGTTCATTTATTTTTTGGAGAAATTAGGTCATTTATTTTTTAGGCACCAAGGGTGAGATTTGCAAAGCCACGTCAGTGCCTAAAGATGCAGGTAGCTTCTTTTGAAAATCCCAGTAGGAATCTAAGTGGGTTAGGTGCCTAAATCCACTGAAATCAATGGAATTTAGACACCTAATCTACTCAGACACTTCTATAATTCCCACTAGGCACCTAAATATCTTTGAAAATCTAGCCGTAAGGCCCTGATCCAAAGCCCATTGAAATTAATGGAAAGAATCCAACATCGACCTTAATGGGCTTTCAATCATATCCTTAAATATAGTGTTATAGATACCTATCTTTCAGCATCCAAGTCTGAACTTTTAGGCAGACATTTAGATTGTATGTGCAATTTGTTATAAAGCAAAGATACCACAGGGATGATAAATACTTAGATTAGACTAGTCTGCATTGTATTAGACCACCAGTATGGAATTGTACTATAGAGATGGGCTCAAACTGCACAACCAGGACTGGATTTCAAATGCCCAAATGTTCCACGGTGTTTAGATTAAGGATTTAGGTCTGACCATCATACAGATGGGACCAATAGCAAAATTTTAACCTGACACAGATTTCAAACATTCCAAGGGTTAAGATGTGTTGAGCCAGGGATTTTGTCTAAGACCATCCTTAGTAATAAATTTGTTTTTTAAACAACTACCAGAAAAATAAAAAAGTATTAATATCTAGTCATCAGAAAAGCATATTTTTCTTAATCTAGGACAATACTGCTAAACAGTGGATATGTCTCTATCTCCATATGGTTTTACAACCTCAGTTCTCTGATCAGTGTAGACTCTTAAAAGTTTTCTAAAGATTAATCAACCAGCTAGAAGATTTTATTACCTGCTCTAATTAGCCTGGCTACATGGGCTTTATTAAAAACAGATTGTCATTTAAGAAGGTCAGGAGAGTACTAATCTTATACAATATACATTAAGGACTTTTTTTAAAGTCCTTGTATCCTTAAAGGAATTCTAAAGATTCAGTTGACTGTACATGTTTGCAACATTCCCAAAATACACTGTTGAAAATAAGTAGCCGTGTTAGTCTGGATCTGTAAAAAGCAACAGAGTCCTGTGGCACTTTTAAGACTAACAGATGTATTGGAGCATCAGCTTTTGTGCGTGAATGCCCACTTTGTCGTTGTACCATCCAACCCCCTTGGATCTTAAAACAAGGAAAAATCAATCAGGTTCTTAAAAAGAAGGCTTTTAACTAAAGAAAGAAAGGTAAAAATCGTCTCTGTAAAATCAGGATGGAAAATAACTTTACAGGGTAATCAGATTCAAAGAGCCCAGAGGAACCCCCTCTAGCCTTAGGTTCAAAGTTACAGCAAACAGAGCTAAACCCTCTAGCAAAAGGAACATTTACAATTTGAGAAAACAAAGATAAACTAACACGCCTTGCCTGGCTGTTACTTACAAGTTTGAAATATGAGAGACTTGTTCAGAAAGATTTGGAGAGCATGGATTGATGTCCGGTCCCTCTTAGTCCCAAGAGTGAACAACCCCCAAAACAAAGAGCACAAACAAATGCCTTCCTCCCCTCAAGATTTGAAAGTATCTTGTCCCCTTATTGGTCCTTTGGGTCAGGTGTCAGCCACGTTACCTGAGCTTCTTAACCCTTTACAGGTAAAAGGATTTTGGTGTCTCTGGCCAGGAGGGATTTTATAGTATTGTACACAGGAAAGTTGTTACCCTTCCCTTTATAGTTATGACAATGTGGGTGCGAGAAGAGGTACTCGCAGCCCTTGGAAGGAACAAAGTACGTCCTCTCTATGCCCCTGGTGGTGGGCGGAATGGAGGCTGGAGTCTGCCACAGGGTCTTATTAGTGTTTTGAATGGTTTTTATTAGCGGTAGCACCACCCAGGAAGGACCTTCTGGGGCAAGAATGTCTACCACAGGGTCCTCTGCCTCGACCACTTCCTCCGCCTGCAGGCCCATGTTGCAGGCAATGCAACAGAGCAGGTCTTGGTGTGCCCTGTGGTCAATAGGCAGGGGCCCTGAAGCTGACGTCCCTGCTACCACCTCATTGGGCTAGGAAGATGAGGTAGCAAGTGGTGGTACAGGGTCCTCCTGTCCCTCGAGCTGCCTGGGTGGCTCCTGGACTGTATCAGGCTCTGCCACTGGCTCAGCAAAGGCGGCTGTCTCGTGGACTAGCAGCAGGTGCTGAGCTGGTTCTGACCCCACCTCTGCAGTCTGAGGGGGTGGCTTGGAGAGGGCAGCTTCAGCTCCCCGAGGGGCAGGTCTATCTCTAGGTGACTGGGAAGGGCGGCATCCCGAGGTCACAGACCTAGAGCCCCTGGAAGGGGTACCCTGGGCCTGATGGTAAGCCCAGGGGTTCTAAAAGGGCCATTGTGTGGGGGGTTGCCACTGTGGCTGTCAGGCCACACGTGCATCCCTTTGGCGCCTGCCCGACCTGTGCCGACTGCGCCTTGAATAATATGAGTCGGCATCAGACGCTGAAGAGCCCGAGCGCAATGACAAGGGCGGTGCCAAAGCCCCATGTGCTGGCCACCGGTGTCGTGTGGAAGAGGCAAGGGACCAGTGTCGCGACAATCTCGCCGAGGATTGGTGCCGGCGATCAGCTGCTGGGCTCCGGAGCCACTTGTCGGTACCAGTACTGCAAGGGTGTTGTGGACTGATGCCGATCTGTCCTCAGTGCCAGGGAGATAGATCACCGTGTCCCCGGTGCCAGGCGTGTTCCTGCTGGACTCGGTGTCAGGGAATGATGCAGCGGCGATAGGGATCGGGTCCGCTGCATCGTGGTCGGTTTGCCTCTGGACGGTACCGGTCTCAACGGTA